TTTTAATAAAAGTTAATCAATAAAAGAAGATTACTTAATAATTAAATCATTTGAATTAAAAAGAAGATTTCTGAACTCATTCTAGCAGTTAAACAAAATGAACACATCATTACCTACCTTTATTAAATTAGTCTCTCCCAACCTTAATCATTTAAACACATAAAAGCCTTTAATAACTCTTCCACTTAATTGAGACACATGAAGAACACGTGATCTATACTTGAAAGTTAATAAACCAACAGAAATGGTAACAATATTGATAATTTTTCCAAATTTTTCCATTATGTGTTAAATCTGATCTTTAGATGTTCTGAGAAAAACATCTCTTAATGTTCAATTGTCATTGGATCAATTGAATTGAGAGATTGTGATTTTTTGTCAGAGATGTAATTGTTATTTAATGAAATATCTAGAGCTAACTGGAGGAATTTGTCTAATGCAAATTCAGTACAAATATAATTTGTTTGATTAAAAGAAACTGATTTGGCTCTTAAAAAGCCTGGATTATATTAAAAGATGCTGTTGATGTATTTGATGTTGTCTTTAGTGTTATTTTCAGGAAGTGATAATTCCTTAATCCATTCTTTGAATTGTTTAGTACTATATATAGTGGTCCATTGATCATTAGCAGAATCAGGGAATATAATTTTTGTGATTATATTATAAGATAATGATATTGAATTAATTGTGTAATATGGAAGAAAGAACATGTGTGTTAGTAGATGAGGAAGGATTGCTTCAAAGTTAGTTGATTGTGATAAGACTGTGTGTGTGTTGTCTACTTGAAGCGTGTTGTTTATTTGTTTTGTGTTGACTGATTCCATTTTATCAATGTGATCAATTTTTGCTTTTTTGGTGCGATTAGCTTGTAATTGTGTGTTGTGGATTGTTTGCTAGGAAGATTGGAGATCAGATGAATTATTTGGTGTGTTAACAGAGATTGCTTGTCAGTATTATTTGAAGATGAGAAAGATAGACCTAAAAAATTTTGTACAGTGATATATATAGGTAAAGAAGAAGAAAAATTAGCAGTTCTTTTGTTTTTGGTGTTGTTAGTAGACATGATAATAAAGTATTAGAGAGAAATATTATAAATATGTATATTTTTGTGTATTTTTAAGATTTTTTGTTATTTTTGTTTTTTGTAGAATTTTAAAGAAAAAAGGAAAAGAGAAGAAGAAGAAGAATTGTAAAGTTATAATAGCATTAAAAAATAATAAGAAAGAAAGATGTAAGATGAGTAAAGATTTTCTGTTAGTAGAATCTGTGTATTATATAATAACTTTATTGTGTTGAGAAGAAGTTTTGCACTTGATAAAGTGTAATTCTGTCTGGTCAAGAGATCAACAGGGATAATAATAATAATAATAATAATAATAATTATTATTATTATTTAATTAAAACAAATATTTTTTTAGTTAATCTTTATTAATAATAATAATAATAATAATAATAATAATAATAATAATAATAATAATAATAATAATAATAATAAAATTGATATTTTGTTTTTAATTTAATTACTTTTAGTTATTTATAATATTAAATTTAACTTAATAAATTGCTATATTTAACTTAATCAATATAATTATGCTCACTTTTTATAAAGCATTAATTAATAAATTAATAAATAAAAAAAATTAAATTAAATAAATCTAAAATAATTATAAATAATAATTTTATTATAATTAAATTAAGAAATTTAATATTTTATTTTTGAAAATTCAAAAAAAAACAAATTATTTTACTTGTTCTAGTTACTTAATTCATTTTATAATATTTTTTGAATAATTTAACAACTAAAAGTACTTGCAAAAATCTCTTAATAATTGCTAAAACTCTATTAAAAATATAATAAATTATAATTAAATCTCTCTATATTCATATCTATTTATATTCACACTTATTAATTGTCACAACTATTTATAATTATTTTATTTTATTTTTATATTTATATAAATATAGTAAAAAAATTATTTTATAATCACATTCTTTTTATAATTATTAAATTATACTTTTCTAAAAGTAATACAGTTAAACTTCTCTATATTTACATTTATTTATAGTTATATTTCTTTATACTCATCCTATTTTGCTTTCTATTTATATATAAATATATTAAAAAAATTTCTCTATAGTCACATTCTCTTTATAGTCACCAAATTTTGCTTTTTTAAAAATGGTGATTATAGAAAAATTTGACTATAATTATAAAAATTTGTTTGTATTAGTAAATAAAATACTAAAATTATTAGATTTTTCAATTTATCATAACTAAAATTTTGTTAAAATAATTAATAAAGTGAATTTATTTATATGATTAGTAGTAAATTATACTATATTATAATATATTTAATAATAATTATTTATTAATTCAATATATTAACTATAATTTTAAATATTTTTAATAGTTTTTCAAATATTTATAATTATATATTTTTCTCAAAGAATAAAATTTCTTAAAATTTTTTGACAACTTATTTTAGTTTTTGATAATTGTTAATAATTTTATAATTAAAATATTTTTTGTACTATATTATATATAATATAACCAACCAAAATTTTAAGAAATAATATATTCTAAAAAAATTTTTATTAATTTTATCATTAATTGATATAAATAAAACAAAGTTTAAATAATATTAAAGCATTTAATAGATTTTTGTATATAAAAATATTTAGCTTTATAATTTTTATATATTTAAAATTATATTACACATAATACAAAAATTTGAATTCAATTTATTAATATATAATTTATTAAAACTTTGCAAAAATTTTTTTAAAAAATTTTAACAAGTATTCTTATTAATAATTAGCAAAATTAATATTATATTTGAATAATTAATTCAAAATTTATTAAAATATCTTAAAATATCTAAAATTATGCAAAGTTCTAAAAATAATCATCTAAATTGTTTTTAAAAAAATAATATTTTAGCAAGTAATTCAATTTTGTTATATTACTAATATTAATAAATAATTTATACAGAAAATTTATTCAATAAAGTTTTATTCCAATCTAAAATTTTTTATAGACTGCAAGCTGCAAATGTTGTCTGATACCTGAAAATTAATTTTTTATGTAAAAAAAAGAAACTAGATGATAGAATACAAATTATTTTCTAAAAAATTTTAATTTTGGCCCAAATCTCGATATAACTTGGGCAAGCAATAAATTTCAATCACCATAGATACATGTTTAATTTAATATCAAAAGTTCGCTGTTATTTAAAAAAATTACTCTCATACTCGTAAAATTAACATTTTACAGATACGAAGTACGCCGATGGAAAACACAGAAATGTAATATAGAATAATTATTGCTATTGCTGGATAGATGCATAACGATAAGCAACAGCCCATCTGAAGCAAGAAACATCCAGGACTGCCTTTGCCTCGGGCCAAGTAATTATTCCACGATACTTCGACATGTTCAGAAATACACATGTTTTACATTAAATTAATTTATGGAACTAAATATTTGTACATTACAGCATATCGGATATTCATGTAAAAAAAAACTGCCTTCATTGAACGCATGCACTAATCGTGCTTGCATGCGTCGCATGCTCGAATATAATGTCCAGATTTTCGGAACAATGAGCTTACACCACAAAAAACTTGTTAATATTATATGTAAATATGAAAAATGAGCTCACACTACAAAAAAAACTTGTTAATAAAGTTAACGTTAACAAATATTCAATCATGCATATCGGTCAAATTATTTTGCCAAATTAGCATAACATAAATTAATTATCTAACTAAAGACAAGGAAAAGATACGTTTAAAAGCGATAATTTTTCATTTTCACGTAACTACGCCGACTAAATGCATTTGGAAAAGACTTAAATATAATTAGCGTAATAACATCTTGCGCCGACTAAATGCATTTGGAAAAGATTGAATACAAAAAGCGTATAAATAACATCGTACGCATACATGTAACATACGATGTCTGTTTCAAATACTTTTGAAGGATGTAGATTCCCTACACTCATACTCACCCACATAAAAAACTAGAATAATTGACTTGGAACTAATTCAACAATAATTAAAATAAATAACAAATGCATATATCTACCAGAATAAGTACATATTTTACGCCAAATTCAAACTCTTTTCACTTTTGCTAAGAAAACAAAGCACGCGAAAACTGTTATTGTGTCCCAAAAAATGCGATTAGATATGCATATGACGATGTTATTTTTGAGTTTAAACAATGGCACACATAATGTAAGAATAAGGAAAAAATTTAAAGAATTTTTTTATTTTTCGCATGCAGTCGAAAAGAGCTCAGTCTTTAAACAAGCGGACAGGGGTACGCACAGTACGTGCATGATACGAGGCAATACAATTGTTTAAAAGAAAATCGATACTTGAACTGTGTGATACATTAGATGTGAGTTTATCGTCAACAATAGTAATACCATTTACGTACGTACATGTATTTATTTTGACATATGGATATCATATACGCAATCTGGAGTTCTCATAATCGATGAAAATCGACGACCACATGCACATACATGCATAAAAAGAACAGGGTTTTTCAAAAAACAATTGTGTATATTTCTAGTAATTCTGTGTGCTGATAAAAGAAATAATAACTGATGAAAAAAACTGCCATTTTCGTTTTCAACCACCTCAAAAAAATTATTAATCTTTTTTGCCACAATTATAAAAAGGATAAGAATCAAAATTTGCTGGAATCAACGTTTTTGTTAAATTCAAAACCAAAAAATAACTACCATTTTTTTCGATTATTCCTTTCAGAACACACACACATTATTCTCTCCTCACTTCATCCTCTCATTTTTTTTAATACACATTAATATCAATAATGACCCTCGCTGGTTCATTACCTCATTTAGTTCTGAAAGAAATTTTTAATGAAATTGAAGGATTAATGTCAACGGACAGATACCAGATTTTGTTATCATGTGCACTAGTTAATCGTCATTGGTGTCATGAAGCATTACCAATATTATGGCGTCGTCCGCTCAATTGTCGTCGTGAACAATACTCAAAACTCATAAAAGTTTATTTACAATTCATCGAATCAGGGTATCTAAATTTTTTGGGTCTTAATTTAAATATCCCCACTAAAGTTTCATTCTCGTCATCATCCTCGTTTTTACCGTTTCTATATCCATCATACATAAAATACATCGATTTTGACATTTTTTTTGACGCGGTTCAATGTTGGATGACAACCGACGGAGATTTCGAAAGGGGAAAAAATCGATTGAATTGGATGCCACAATGGTTTCATCGCGAACGACCGATTCTTCATGATACGTTTTTCAAGGTTAAACGAACCCTCGTACAGGCTCTGTTGAGAAGCTTTCTTTCGAGCGGTGCAAGGTTGAAAAGTATCTCATTTTCAATTCATCAGAATAAAGATCCAAACGTCGAAGAATTTTTGTGGCCTTTTGATGAGAGTGTTCGTCCATTGATTGCGAATATAAGAGTATTGACGGTTTCCGGAATGTTTCGTAAGGAGAATATTTTTGCTGAACTTTCTAAAATTTGCAAGAATTTGGTAATTATCTTAAGTTAATAGTCTCAAATATTGCTCTAAAGTTTGAATTTACTAACTATTAAATTGTATTCGACTTCAACAGCAAACGATGGAAATAGCGATCGAAGGAAATACCGACGCATCAGGGACACAATCTCCAAAAGAATACTTAAATCTTGGCTCACTAATCCAAGCACAAAAAGGCTGTCTCAAATCTCTCAATATAACACTCCGAGAAAAAAACCGATCGTTCATCGAACTACTACTCCCTTCAATCTGGACAAATTCTTCGACACTACAAAACTTGCGTCTATGTACCGCCGATTTTCGTGACGTAAAACGACCACTTGCAGAACTATCGTCTTGTTATCAGCTACGGTCGTTGGAATTTAGTTATTGTAAAGGACTGACGACAGAGTCAATTTCACCATATGTTGCTCCGGCGGTGAATCCTTATCTGAAAAGAATTCGTGTTCTTGGAGAATACTAAAACTTCGTTTGTTTTCTTCAAAAAATGTATGTATATATTTTTTGTTATTATTCTGATAAGAGCATGTATATATTTATTATTTAAAATTTGATACATACAAATATTTTTCACTGTTCTGTATATAAATCTTACTTGTATTTATTCTATTCGTAACAGTTTTTTTATTCGTGCATTAATTTTACTTCGCATAGCATATTTTAAAGTGCTGTTTTATCTGTTCCGTTATGTTCTGTCCACATTATTGTGGAATTTAGTTATTTGTTTCGTAAAAAAACACCTATTTTTATACTGTTCGTACTATTCTTACACTTATTCTTGTTCCTAGTTCTTTTTCGATTAATATTGCTTGTTCTTTGCTCTAATTTTTTCTCTGTAACATTTCTTTTTTCTTTGCTATTTATTTACTTTTTTGTTATATATCTGTATTATTTTCTTAGAATCAAAACAAAAAAATTAATTACAAAAAAATAATAAAAACTACATAAAACTTTCCAAAAACTTCAAATGACGAATACGAAAAATCTGGCTTCTATCGTATCGCTATGCCCGATTAAATCTTAATACCATAAAACAAATATATCGATATATATATATATCGATATCTACGTTGCAAATGGGAATCGGGACAAGAATTGGAATACCATAAACTGCCGTGAATAAGCACCACTTTTTTGGTTCGAAAAAACGAGGTGGTACTCATTTTTAGACATTTCCTCTCAACTTAAAAATTCAGTTGTTATCATTATTCACTGTTGTTCATCACTATACTATTTTTGGATTGAAATAGGGTGGTGCTTATTCACGGCAGTTTACGGTAACAGTAAGAGTTAGTGTTGGTCGAACGATTCAAAATCAACTAAAGTCCCATTAACAGGGTTGAAGCAACAAAACCACTCCACCCATACACAGGAGAACATCAAAATACTTACCGGCAACATTATAAAACCCAGTAACAGCTCGCAAAACTTGCACATCAACGCAAATCGGAGAACTGAGAGCGTCGTTAACGACCAAACACAGCAAACCCACTGGATAGAAAAAAGGCAAACGGAAGCAATAAAAATGGCGAAGTGACTTACTTGGCCAAAATTAAACTGACAAGTACCGCGCTCACTAAAAGGTATGGTAGGAACGCGAAAACGTCGATGACCAGCCAACGGTATGAGTAACGTTACCAGAAAGCTGTCGACTGCCTGAGATAATCCACGACACCAAAAATGCAGAATTAACGCGCATCCTAAGTAGCAAAAAAACATTAATAATAACGATAATAAATAATATGTTATAACCGATTTTACGTACGTACTTTTAATAATTGTTACAAGTTTGTCACTAATCATTAAATTAGCTTACAAACTTGAACCTGGGTTGGGAGAGGGGATTAAACAAATAAACTAAAAATTAGAGAAAAGAGAGGTATCCAAGTCCTATGCCAATTTCTATGGAAATTATAATAATCCAAAGATATAGTAAAATATGGAGAGTTGTGGGAGAATAAATAAATAATAAGGGGGGGGGGGGGGTTTAAAATGCTAATTCTCTGTACTTGCATAAAGCTTCCCAAAGCTAAGGCAATACAATTAGTAATAACCAAATAACAAAGACTTTTTCACTTTGTTGTTCTCACAAGTGAGATATCAAATAACAAAAATAACAAAAATTCAAAATAACAAAAATTAAAATACTTAATCAAAATCAATAAATCCAATAACAATATTTTGTTTGGTATAATATAATACAAAGGTCATAAATTCAATAACAGCATTTTGTTCAGCACAATATGATTCAAAGCCACTTGTATACAAGTTTTGATATGTACAATTGAGACTGAAAGGCAGAAGTTATTTGTTAGAATATTCTTGTTAAAAGGTATTTTATTTCTCAGTTGCAATATATCAAGTTAAAATCAAAATAACAAAAATCAAAATTCAAAATAACAAAACTCAAAATACTTAGTCAAACTCAAAAAAATTAATAAAAATATTTTGTTTAACACAATGCAATACAAAGTTTATAAATTCAATAATAGCATTTTGTTTGGTATAATATAATTCAAAGTTACTTATATATAAGTTTTGATATATATAATTGAGAATGAGAGATAAAAATTATTTGTTGGAAGATTTTTGTTAAAAGATATTTTATTTCTTTAGTTATAACATGTCAAATTAAGATTCAAATAATATCTTTATTTATATATTTTTTGAAAATACAAATTTTAAATATAATAATTATTTAAAGATAAAATAACTTCAAAAATAAATATAAAAAATTATAAAATAAGATAAAATAAAAGTAAAATAAAATAAAATAAAAGTGAAAAAAAAGTGAAATAAAAGATAAAAAATAAAATATTATTAAGCTATTTTTATAAAGTTTCAGAAATTAAAAAATTTATATTATTATCATAATATTATATTATTATTATTATAATATAAAACACTTGAAGATACCAATTATATAGCTTGTTACATTTTTAATTATAAAGATAAACAGAATTTAAATGGATTACTAAATTAATTTTTGATTACTTGCAAAAAAATTATATATCTATTATAATATATATGTTATTTTCTAAATGATTTATTATAATAACCAATAAAATAATAAAAGATATCTTATAATTGACCAATCAAATTTGATTTAATAATCACAAGTTATATTATTTGTTAACTAATTATTGATTATATAAAATAATAAGTTTTTAAATGTATACTAGTCAAAAATAAATCAATATTTTGTAGTTAGATCTATTTATTATAAAATAATAATCTCCTTTTTTTATATAATCTTTATATGAAATTCTTTATCTTTTAAGATAACTAAATTTTATTAATATCTTTAAGTATTTTATATTATATTACTATTATTATTACTATTAATATTACTATTAATATTACTATTACTATTATTACTACTACTACTACTACTACTACTACTACTATTATTATTATTATTATTATTATTATTATTATTATTATTATTATTATTATTATTATTATTATTATTATTATTA